AAACCATTCCTTCCAAGTTAGCCATGCATCCAGTAATATCAGCAACCTGTGGGTTGCTTTCCATTTTGACATCTACAGGTGCCAGTGCTGGTGATGCCTCCTGCAAATAATTGGGGGATGGTGGCCAAACCTTCATCATAGTGTTACCCAGTGCCCATTCCACTGTCTCCTTTAATTCGACTGTTGTCCATGGTTCATCTACTGCCCTGTCTTATTTCCATTCAAGCCTGTTTACCATCTTGTCCCAGAGTTGGCTTTTGGTGGGCAGGAATTCATAAGCATGTAAATCTGGGAAACCATTCCTTCCAAGTTAGCCATGCCTCCAGTAATATTGGCAACCTGTGGGTTGCTCTCCATTTTGATGTCTACAGGTGCCAGTGCTGGGGATGCCTCCTGCAAATAATTGGGGGACAGTGGCTGAACCTTTGTCATAGTGTTGCCCAGTGCCCATTCCTACCAATTTTCCCCATCTCTCCCCTCTTCCCCTAGCGAGTTCTTGCACGCCACCCATTGGACCAATATTTCAGACACCTCTTGGGTTGGATCAGCATGCTCCGAGTGCACCAAGACAATCCAGCACAATGGGCATCCCTGTGAGTGCACTGAATCATCCAGTTGCATTACTCAACCTCTACAGACGTTATGAGTTGTGCCGTCACAGACAGCGTAGCTATCAGCCGCCCATGCTGCGCCATCCACAACTATCCTCTCCCTCTTCCTAGCTCTCATGCCAGCTTCTGCATTCCTCACACCCATCTCAAATATGTCTGCATCTTCCCAGGCTGCAATGCTCCTACACAACTGGACATGCAGACCTGTGATCTGGAAGAGCACACTGCACAAGAGACAGCATACTGCACTGTTGGCAATTCATATGCCTTGCTCTGACAGGGTCAATGCGAGGCATACCAATGCGATGAGATTGGCTGCAGCTGCTATTGGCCAAGACCAGCTGAGGAGGAGGACAAGGAGCAGGAGGAGGCACAGGACAAGCAGGAGCAACTGCAGGTGCAGTTCCTGGATGATGGGGAAACGCTACCAGTTGGTGCCAGGCCAGCAAAGAAGAAAGAGAAGAGGAAGGAGAAGGGGAGCAAGGGCGCTGCCAAGCTGAAGTACAAAGGCTTGCACTTCGGCAGGCGCAGGATGCACAACAAACAGCTTGTGGTCTGTCCATGTGGCGTCATACTTGCTCAGGCAACCTTCTATGGTTCAGAGGGCATGTCCTCAGTTGCAGTCAGCAAAGTTCATGCATCTGTAGAGCAAACACTAACCTTTCACTTCTCAGCCTTTCCTCATGTCCATATTCCCCACATGCAAGGCCATGCCTGAGGTGTTGTTCTTTGACAACAACTGCACTTTAGGCCAATATCTCATAGGCTGACCAGAAGCCAAGCACTTCAAGGAGACTGCGCTTGTGGTGGATGTCTTCCACTACAAGTCAAAGGATGCAGACAACAATGTCTATTGCAGCACTCACTGCAATCTGGCATCTTTCCCCAAGTTGTATGATCTGGCGTCCAAAACCTGGATGTTCCACTCCTTGGTGTGCAAGCAGACCAATGCACAGATACACAAGTATCAAGGTCAGTTGCGAGAGATGAGTGCCATTTCCTTGACGAGGTGATCAAGGCAAGGAAGGAGGCAATCATAGAGGGTTTGGAGTGTCAAGGTTTTGCTCCTCACTTGAAGCCTGCCAGTGCTCTGTAGACTATGTATGACTAATCAGATTACTTGTATTATATGATGTACAGCTACCAGTATTCCATGAGCATAGAGATGAACCGCAGTGATAAGATAACAGTGATGGCAAGCACAATTTGTGTTAAGAAATTATATATGTATGGGTCATTCATTTGTGCAGAAGTTCCTGTCAGGGCACCAGCTCATTGCTTGGTCAAGAGACATGACTAAGCCTTTATGACGTGGAAGTAGCTGGTATACCTTGGCATGTGCTGGAACCTGCTGGAAGGATTGGATGGTCAGG